CCCTCTTCGCCAAGTACTTCTTCGAGGTCTGGGACCGGCTCGGCAGCAGCACGGCGGACGCAGAAGGCGTGGCGCTCGGGACGCGGCCGATTTACTCGCGCTACCTGACGCTGGTGAGCTTCCACGCGTTCATTGAGGAGGGGGTGGACTGCGCGATTCTGGAGACGGGGATTGGTGGGGAGTACGACGCGACGAATTTGGTGGGACGGCCCGTGGCGACGGGGATTACGACGTTGGGGATCGATCATGTGTTTGCGCTGGGGGACACGGTGGGCAAGATTGCGTGGCATAAGGCGGGGATTATGAAGACGGGGAGCAGGGCGTTTACGGTTGAGCAGGTGGGCGAGGCGCAGGGTGTGCTGGAGGAGCGGGCGGCGGAGAAGGGGGTGCGGTTGGAGGTTGTGAAGGTGGATGAGAGGATGAAGGATGTGCGGATCCGGCCGGATAAGGAGTTTCAGCGGCGGAATGCGAGTTTGGCGGTGCGGCTTGCGGAGAGCGTGCTGGAGAGGCTGGAGGAGGGGTTTAAGCCTGACCCGACGCGGTTGCCGGAGGCGTTTGTGAAGGGGCTGGAGGAGGTTGTGTGGAGGGGCCGGTGCGAGGTGAAGGACGAGGGGAGCGTGGTGTGGTTTGTGGACGGGGCGCATACGACGGATAGTCTGAAGATGGCGGGGCGGTGGTTTGCCGGGGAGACGGAGGGGCGGAGGGGGAGGAGAGTGTTGGTGTTCAACCAGCAGGGCCGGACGGAGGCGATCGACTTTCTGGATGGGGTGTACGAGGCTGTGAAGAGGGATGGGAGGGGGTTTGACGGGGTTGCGTTCTGTACGAATGTGACGTACAAAGAGACGGGGTACAAGCGAGGTGAGTTTGACGTTCGTTTGGATGGAGCGCTTTGCTGACGCGGGACAGATTTCGTGAATCACCAGTACGATAATAAGGCCATCGAGGCCATGACGGTGCAGAAGCAGTTCGCGGAGCGGTGGAGGGAGCTGGACCCGCAGGCTGACGTGCGGGTCATCCCGACCATCGAGGAGGCCCTGGACTACGTCCGGGGGTTGGCGGAGAGCAATCAGGAGGGAGAGAGCGTGCAGGCGTTCGTCACGGGCAGTCTACACCTCGTTGGCGGCGCGCTGCAGATTCTCGAAGGGGCGGATGCTCTTTGAGCACGTTATGTCCGTATGAACAGGCGTTTACGAAGGGGTTTCGGGGGTTCAACATTACAGCGAATTTTAGACTGGATAACCGGACTCAGAAAAGAGAAGGAGGGGGGTCTATATATCATTCCTCGCGGATTCAACTCTAGATTACTTTTTTAAAGGGGGTGCGGATTAATCAAAACTGGCTTTCTGGCTCCAGGAAGCCTATGAAGTTGCCGACCAGGTACATGCTCCCCGTCACGAGGACCTTCGTCGCCTCCTCGTGAGCGGATGCGATCTCGTCCACGGCGGCCTTCATCTCGCCCAGGTCCGCGCACACTGTCGTCTTCGTGCTCGGATACGCCGCCCGCAGCGCCTCAGCACACTTTTGCTGCACCCCCACATCCGCGTCCTCGAGCCTGGCCTTGTCGTTCCGCGTGAAGATCGCGTGCGTGAGCTTCGCCTCCAAATCGACGCCGCACGCCTTCATCTCCGCCAGCAGGCCCAGCAGCAGCTCCGCGGCGTCGCGCTCCTGCTGGTTGAAGACGAGGACGAAGGGCGTGTTCGGGGGTGTGATGAGCGGGGCGATCCAGGCGGCTACCTGCGCGAGGGAGTCGGCGTTGTGCGCGCCGTCGAGGTGGTATGAGACGCGTCCCTTGGGGATGATTTCGTGGCGCCCGCGGAGGGTTGCGTTTCGCAGGCCTGTGGTGATGTCCTCGGGGAGGTTTGTGAGCGAGGTCTTTGGGGCGACGGCGGTGTTTTTGGACTCGAGCACGCGGAGGTGGTGCCGTGCTGCTAGTGCCGCCAGTGCCTGGTTCCTCTTCTGGAACTCGCCGCCGGGGATCTTTGCGTCAGGCACACCTTGCCAGGAAGACACCTCCGCGTCGGGGATCTCGACCAGCGTCGCGCCGGTAGAGGCCGCGCGGTCGCGGAGGACGGCCATGACGCCCGGCTGGGCGTCGAGGGCGCGGGTGAAGGTGGCGACGCCGGGTTTCATGACGCCGGCCTTGTGCCATGCGATCTGCTCCGCGGTCGATCCGAGCATGGCGACGTGGTCGATGCCGAGCTGCGTGATCACAGAGGCCGTGACAGATTCCGGAGGCAGGATGTTGGTGGCGTCGTACTCGCCGCCGATGCCGCACTCGACGACGGCGGTGGAGACGCCCTCGGCGAGGAAGATGCGCAGGGCGAGCAGGGTGAGGTAGCGGAAGTAGAAGGGCTTGGCGCCGGCGTCGATGCCGAGGGAGGGGTCGGCGGGGCCGGCGGAGAGGGTGTCCCAGAGGGCGAAGAAGTGGTGCGCGAAGAGGGGCTGGGGGACGGGGAGGCCGTTGATGGAGATGCGCTCGCGGGGGTGGAGGAGGTGCGGGGAGGTGTATGTGCCGATCTTTGCGGATGAGGGCGAGGAGGCGAGGAGGGCGGAGGAGGTGAGGGTTGTCACGGTGCCTTTGCCCTTTGTGCCGGCGATGTGGATGTAGGAGAGCCGGGAGAGGGTTGAGGGGGGAAGGTCGGCGCGGAGGAGCCAGGCCCGCATCTCGGGGATTGCGAGGGCGTTGGGGTCGGCGGGGGGTTTTGAGGAGGCATCTTTGTCCTTGGGGGCGTTGAAGAGGGCGTGGACTTTGAGGTTCGGGATGAGGGTGTTGAGGTGGTCGAGGGCGTCTTGGTATGTTCGTGAGGCCGACATGGTGGTGAGCGAGCGGTGGGTGAGGGGTTTGACGGGTGAGGAGGAGATGAGCGGTGATGAGACTAAACGTATGAGACGGCTCATTGGGTGTTTACTAGAATATGTCACCGGTCCCGGGGTCGCATGGTGTGTGAGTTGGATTGGTGGTTGAGTTGGGACGATTGAGGCTCAAATTAGGTTGGAGGGGTGAGGTGAAGCTTTGGAGGGGTAAAATGGTGTGTAACATTTGGGACGACGTTACGGCACTTTTAGCGCCCTTTTGGCGCGTTTCCCCACGCGCTTGCGTCTCTCCCTTCTTGCAACATCCATCTTGGTGAGATCAATCATGCCGGATTACAGAACAGCCTCACGAGGTCATCATTACTCGTAAGTGAGCGACAATTAGGAAACAAACTGTTTCCACTGGAGCACCTCCCAGAGATTGACGAAAATCCGTGGAGAATGGCGTCGGAAAGTTACTAACAACTTTGGCAGATTTTCTCCATTGAAGCCCTCCACAGGCTGTGTCTAGACCTCCTACCATCTGGAGATGGCAGCCGGATCCTTTGATCACCATTCAACCCGACCGCCGACCGGTAAAGTCAGTCGGAACATCTCGAAATCTCCGGCCAGGGCGGCGCACCACCGCCGTTGCATCGGCAGGAGCTCGCTTCCAGAACCAAGGACCAAGGACCAAGGAACCCCGCAACTCCGCGACGCAGGGGTGGTGCAATGCAACATTATGAAGACAGACCCCAATCCCTAATGACCCCGTGTTCTGTGTCCTGCAGTCTGCACATCTCACGGAATGACCACCGACAGGGAGCAGCGTTGTGCGAGCAACGGCGCCTCCGCCGCCCTGTTCGTTGAGGCTATTCAGAGTCCGGATCCAGGCTCTTCCGCGCGGCCTCTGCAAGGCCCGTCGCAAGGGAGCCAATCTTGCCCTGTTTGGAGTATATACGTGGCAAATCACCTTCTCCTATCCCCAGCGAAGTTTGTCGAATCCACCTCTTCATATCGAGCAATAGGCATTCTCGCCCAACGTCTAGGCGGCATCGGCTTCAGATCCGGTGAAGACGAAAGGGAGAGAGATCATCATTAGCAAGAGGTCGGGTAGGGCTGCCGTCCCCCTTAAGACGGGATTTCCTTCAATGCCGCCTTTCCCTTGCTGCTATTTACAGCAAGTGCTGTCACCCCTGGTTTGAGGCGTCCAAGGCTGATCCCTCATCCCACGCACACGCCGTCCAAGGATCTGGGCCGGTGAACGGACCTAAGCCCTGTAAGGCACGTTTCCACACATCTCTCTTTTTCTTCTTTCATCTCAACTTTTATGGGCAGAAATAATGCAACGAATAACAGCAGCCGTCAATCCCACGGCATGAAAACACCATCTGTGAAAGTTCACGATGCCGTGGACCCAAGCTCTCGGCGTCTCCTCAAAGCTTGCCCCAGACGCACGGAAATCCCCAGAAATTGACAGAAATCAACTGTGGACCGTTTCCCTCGTCAATTGACAATTGCCAGAGAACATCATCCCAGCGACAATTCCCCCGTTAATCAATCAAACCGCCCGGGCTGCCGGTGGGCGGAACTCGCGGGGAGACGGACAGACGAACAACAAGTGTTGTAAACAAGACTCTCCACGTTGGCAGCAGCGGCGGCGGCGGCCTCGCCGTCGAATTCGTCACCGCTCGCGAGCCCCCAATTTGCTTTCCGGAACATGGGAGGACCCTCCACGGGTTTGATCATCTCGACCAGTCGTCGCGCATTCTCCAGTCTCACATAGATGGCGGTTCATCTGGCAGCAGAGAGCCTGTCCGGGGTGTCACGACTCGCTTGCCTGGGCGACTGACTCGCCGGCCTGTTTTTTTCTGGTGATCTGGAAACCCGCCAAATGGGCTCGGTCTCGCCAAGACCAAACAGTCAAGAATGCGACGGCGCTGTTTCTGTTGGGGGCAGACTGCATGGAAAACGGGAAACTCAATGGCGTGCTGTCTCTTCCCTTGACTCTCTGTCAAACCAAGAAATGCTCTCTTTTGTTTTCAACGCCATAACATAGACATATTATCAAACTGCCCACGCTCGTTGCTACTACTCACGCCTATCACGGACCATTCATTCAACTTCTCTTCGACAAGGGCAGGCGTAGAGCGTCTTGCATTAGGGCGCCGTACACTAACATAACTCGGGACCGAACCACCCACCAAATGGCTCGAACGATCTGGCGACACAGCGCCACGTCCTCACCGTATGGGGACTCACCGACTGCGATGGGGAGGAACTCGGCGGAGGCAGCGCGGCGGGAGACGATCGACCTCGAGGATATAAGCGCACACATCCGGGCCTCGCACGGGGGTGCCGCCGCTCCCACACGGCCGTGGTCGCGGAGGACGGACGGGACGACGGATTTCTACGGCGCACGGCGGAGCATCGACAGCGAGCGGACGGCGGACGACATCAGGGACTGGCCGCGGTACGCCAAGATGGAGAAGGCCGGGTCTGCGTTCCCGTCGCCGCTAGGTACCAGCGTCTCGCAGACGAACTTCCTGCACCCGCCGACGCCGGACGCCATGGACAGCAGCGCCAGCGCGGCCTCGTTCGACCGGAAGCGGGACGAGTTCAACGACACGATACACCTGACGTCCAACGCGCCGCCGGGGGCCGAGGGGAGCAAGGCGGGCAGCAGCTTCCTGTGGTGGACGTGGGCGCTGTGGCTGCTGGGCGCGCTGATGGTGACGCTGACGGGGCTGTACTCGACGGGGTCGGCCAAGGCGCTGATGAAGCAGAGCTTTTTCGTTGCGTCGCCGCAGAACTCGATTCTGCTGCTGCGCGTGCTGACGGAGCTTTGCGCCGTTGTGTTGGCGGCGCTGGTGGTTGTCGTGGTGGAGGATCTGCAGTGGGCTCTGGCCTCGAGGCCTGGGGGCGTGAGCCTGTTGCACTTTGTCGGATTGGATTCCGGGACGGGGGTGTGGGGGCTGTTGAGGCTTTTGGCCACGGCGGATTGGAAGGAGAAGTACTCGAGTCTGTTTCGGTGAGTATTGATGGTGCTTGACTGAAGAGATGGCGTGCTGACATCGGACAGGTTATTGGTTATTTGCTCGATTCCCCTGCCCGGTATCATTCTCATGGGTAAGCCATATCCTCAGATGTATTCCATGACATGAACTCGTGCTGACATCTTGTCCAGGTGCCATCTCCATCGAAATGGTCACATTCCCCGAGAAGACGTACCCAGTATCTGCCGGCATCGGCCCTTTTAATGCTTCTAATGTCTATCATGTCCGAAACTCGACGGCGACCGCTTTGCTGGTGCAGATGGGCAGTCCCGCCTGGTCCGACCGAGACTCCTTCTCTCTGGACCCCCTGACCAAGGGCGTCGGGAAGTGCACGGGGCCGGACGGCAACTGGGCTCCCTGTGATGAATCGCATCTCCTCACTGGCGGCGTCGTCGCCATTGCTCCGCAAACAGACGACCTGAAGCAGCTCCCGGGGTCTGCATCCTACGTTGTTCCCAAGACGAGAGTCGTCCAGCTCGAGTACGGAAAGGTGCCGGATCTCGAGAACCTCCGCAAGACCGGCAAGTGCTTCCTTCTCGGAGCCGCCAGCGCCGCGTCTTACTGGTGTGCCAAGACCGGCGATAACAACGCACTCCTTTTCGGTAAGAAAGCCATCCCACTGGCATATCGCAAGAATGCTAACATCTTACCCCAGGCTCCGCATACTGCCCAATCTCCATGCAGGCCACGAGCTCCTGCATCAACGACACAACCTGGACCAGCAAACTCGAAATCTCCTCCTCCCTCTTCGTCTACTCGCGCCTCGCCACCATCACCTACGACCGCGGCAACTTCTCCATCCTCGCCGTGACCGACATGACGCCCGCGAAGCAGGACATCATCACCCTCGACGACTACATGCTCTCCCTCTCCGCCGTCGTGCCCGGCTTCAACGCGACGAGCAGCCAGGACGCCACCAAGGGCGACAACTCGGCCCTCGCCATCTACGCCGTCACCGCGCTGCCCATCAACGACTCCGAGGTCGCCAAGAAGCAGTCCCTCAAGGCCATCCGCAAGGCCATGTCCGTGCCCTTCCACTACTTCCACTCAAACTATTTCTCCAACGGGCCCTCCATCTGGGAGCTGACCGGCCCGCGCGAGGGCCTGCCCGCGGACATGTACACCGACCTCTCCATCTCCGTGCTCAGCCATCAGGTCGTCGCGGGGAAGGTCAGCAGGGTGCTCTTCGTGCTCGTCAGCAGCACGATTCTGTGTCTGTCGGCGGCGATCATCGTCGCGACGTCGCGGGTGTGCGAGAAGAGGCCGGAGCGGTGCGGGTACCCGACGCTCGACTTTGCGGCGGTGTGCGCCGTCCGGGGAATGCAGCCGGCGCCGGCGGGGTGGGACCAGGAGAGGCAGGACGGGACGGGCGGCCCCGGTGCTGGTCCCGGAGGTCCCGGTGGCGGCGGACACACGCTGCACAAGAGCCTCACGCAGCTGGGGCAGAAGCCGAAGCCGTTTGACGTTGCGAAGAATATCAAGAACGACCGCGTAATAATCAGCTGAACGCACCAAAGGAAGAGAGATACCAATTAGAATTTAGACTTAGAATTAAAGAGTAATGAATTATGAGTTAATACCCACCAACTAAACAGAGTTCTGGTATCCTTGAGCATCAAAGAAGTGGCAGCAGCGACACCGGAGAGCCGCAAACTGTAACTGGCAAAGCGGCAGATCCGATCCGATCCCGACTGGACAATCACGGCGTCAAGGGTGAGGCATCGAATGCGGGGGGCAACGTGGACGCGCGGGGAAGCCCCTTGCTTCCCGCTGCAAAGCGTCCGGTTCCTCGTTGGGTTCGCTGCGTCAGCCGTCCGATCTATGTATGCTGCTTCTCTCCTGTGCATGTATCATGTATTAGTCCCGTCGCATCAGTGTCGTAAATACGACGGCAATGAGCACGTCTTCTGAGGGAATGCTGCTGTGATTACCAATCCATTGCCGGATTCTAGCTAGTGCCTGATTAACGCGCCCTGAAGTGACAAGAGCGAGAGCTTCACCGACTTGTCAACTCGGACAGCGAGCTTTCTAGTCGTCGTGCTGATTACTGCATGGAACGAATTAGGCAGGTCATGTGAAGTCCCGTCCGGTCAAGACTAGAGGAAGAGGCGCCTGCTGACAGCCTCCGAATCCAAGCTCAAGGAGGTGCGGCTTTGCAGGCCCGAGGATGTTCTGCTAACTCCGATGAACGTTCCGATTAGCTCTTGAGAACTGTGTATGTGTCATTCAACAGCTGCTGTGCTGCAAAATTCGTCGGAAACATGAGCAAACTTTCCCAGTCAAGCATTCTCTGTTTAGTTTTCGCCGATTCGGCAGCGCGGCAGTGCGGCAAGCAACGCCAATATTGACGTCCACCACCGGCCCAGACTCCCCGGTGGTCTTAGCCGGTTCGAGCAAGATGTTGCTCCATCCCACTTTCCCCGATTTCCTCGCTTCTCGCTTCGCGGCCACATGGGGACCGGGGGTTGGAGTGGTTCACGTTGGAGCGGATGTGGAGGTGCTGGTCATCGACTAGGTAATGAAATTTGCCCGTTTCGCCATCGCTTTTTTTCTTTCTTTTCGCGACGGTGACGGGTCGGCCTCGTGACTATTCCTTTTCGTACTCACGCGCTTGCGTATTGGTTTTGATCACACTCGCTGCTGTGACTTATTCATCGCAGTTCGCTCTTTAAAGAAGTACAAAGTGTCTCATCGCAAGATCTACTGGGTCTCATCTCCTGTTACCGCTCAGAATCTGGAAGGCGACTTGATGATTCATCAGACTGAGAACGTCTTCGCTCGCACATCAAATTATAACGCTTGACACCCAACGCGCAAACAACCCCGGAAATCGTGACCCGAGCCATCACCACACAACCCTCAGATGACAGCAAACCACCACCTCCACGACGACGAGAAAGTCGACGACGTCGAGCGCGCCGCAGGCACAACGACAAGCAGCTCCGACTCCATCAGCAGCAACAATGAGGTGACCGCAAACCCACCCGCCTCCGCCGCCAAGGCCGAGGCCTCAACACCGGAGACGGGTCCCACCGCCGGCGAGACAAAGCAAGACGTAGCTCCGGAAGCCGCCACCACCACCGCAGCTGACGCCGACGCCGACGCCCCGGAAGCCGGACGCACCAAGCTCGAGACGACGCTCATCGTGCTGTCCCTGTGCGCGGCGCTCTTCCTCGCCGCGCTGGACGTGACCATCATCACCACGGCCGTGCCGACCATCGCGCAGGAGTTCAACAGCAACATCGGCTACATCTGGATCGGCTCCGCGTACCTGCTCGCCAACGCCGCCTTCGTGCCGACCTGGGGCAAGATCTCGGACATCTGGGGCCGCAAGCCCGTGCTGCTGTCCGCCGTCGGCGTGTTCTGGGTCGGCTCGCTGCTCTGCGGGCTGGCGGTGGACATGGCGATGCTGATTGCCGCGCGCGCGATCCAGGGCATCGGCGGCGGGGGCATCATTGTGCTGGTGAATATTTGTATTAGTGACTTGTTCTCGATGAGGCAGCGCGGGGTGTATTTCGGCGTCATGGGCATGGTGTGGGCTGTTGCGTCGGCCGTGGGACCTGTTATTGGGGGTGTGTTTACGAGCCAGGTTACGTGGCGGTGGTGTAAGTTTTTTCTTTCTTTTTCACCTGTTGTAATGAGATGTAATGCTGACTACGAGCACAGGCTTCTACATCAACCTCCCCATCTCTGGCGTCGGCATCATCATCCTCTTCTTCGTGCTCAAGCTGCACAACCCGCGGACGCCCGTCGTCAAGGGGCTCAAGGCAATCGACTGGATCGGCACGGTCACAATCATCGGCGGCACCATCATGTTCCTCTTCGGCCTCGAGTTCGGCGGCGTCACCTACCCCTGGAGCTCGCCGACCGTCATCTGCCTCATCGTCTTCGGCGTCCTCACCATCGGCCTCTTCACCGTCAACGAGTGGAAGTACGCCCGCTACCCCGTCATCCCGATGCACCTCTTCAGCGACTGGTCCAACCTCGCCGCCTTCGCCACCTCCTTCTGCCACGCCTTCGCCTTCATCTCCGGCTCCTACTGGCTGCCGCTCTACTTCCAGGGCGTCCAGGGCGTCTCCTCGCTGCTCTCGGGCGTCTACCTGCTCCCCTACGTCCTTTCGCTCTCGCTCATGTCCGCGCTCGCGGGCTACGTCATCCGCAAGACGGGCAACTACCTCTACCTCATCATCGCGGGCATGGCCGTCGCGACGCTCGGGTTCGGGCTCTTCCACGACCTGCCGCTGCAGCGCAACTTCACCAAGATCGTGCTGTACCAGATCGTCGCGGGGCTCGGCATCGGGCCGAACTTCCAGTCGCCGCTGATCGCCGTGCAGACGTCCGTCGAGCCGCGCGACATCGCGGCCGCGACGTCGACGTTCGGCTTCATCCGCCAGATGGCGACGTCCATCTCCGTCGTGATCGGCGGCGTGGTGTTCAACAACGAGATGCAGAAGCAGCACCCGCGCCTGCTGGCGGAGCTGGGCCCGGAGCTGGCGGCGCTGCTGTCCGGGTCGAGCGCGGCGTCGAGTGTGGGCGTCGTGGCGGGGCTGCAGGGCGAGCAGGGCCAGATTGCGCGGGGCGCGTATTTGAATAGTTTGCGGACGATGTACATTGTGTATGTCGCGTTTGCGGGGCTGGGGCTGGTGATGAGTTTGTTCATACGGCAGAAGCAGCTGAGCAAGAAGCACACGGAGCACCGGACGGGTTTGAAGACGTTGAGGAGCCGGACAGGGAAGTAGGGTGGTGTGCATACATGCATAGTGCATCATGGCAAGGCGTTCAACGGGCATGGAGCGGATACCAAAACTTTGGATTCATTATCTCTTTCTCAATTCAACTTGAGTTCTCTCAGACAGTGGCTCTTTTCGTATGTTGCACATGTGACCTGACCGGGTATATGAGATATTCAGAGAGGCTCAACCGCGCTGGATTCAGGCTAAATGGCGGTTGATGTCTCCTCCACGTGGGACAAATTCAATGGGTAACATTAGGTGTAGACGCGCAATGAGAAAAGATACTATTGATACTCAAAGTGCTTTCCGCTCATCCGGAAGACGGGGAAGGTCGCATTGAGAAGTGAGTGTGTGGCAGAATCCGGTAGTAGGCCGGTCGTGATGTCCGAGATGGGAACCAATATGGCCTAGACTAGGCCAGTTCTTTGGTACTGAGGCGCTTCTGGGTTGTCGAAGGCCTTTTTGGCATGCAAAGAAAGTTTGCGCAACGAGTCCTTCGGAACCCATCTCATCTTATATTTGCGCTCGTTCAACGTGAGTGATAGCAGCGATGGTATTGCGACCGCAGCCTTTATTGGCGGAATCGCACGGCCCCACTCACGGAGAATACTTCCGGTTCAGGGACGGATGTCTAGTATATCGTCCGTGATCTCTCTTTTTGACGAGAAACAGTTCTCAAAGTGACATCAATTCTTCAAAAACTGATGTTCTTGCTGAACTCCTAATGCCAAGTTATAAAAACGCATCATCAGGGTTGAAAGGCGGTCACCCACCTCTCAGACCTAAGAGGGATGACCCAAAGCCACGCCCGTAGCTCCGAGCAGAAGGTCGCATCGTGACCCGGAGGGGTCCCGGAATCTCGCATGCAGGAGGGGTCGCAGCCACTAGCTGAACATCCACCGGAGCCATCACATCCGCTGCCTCATTCGCGATCTTGACGGAGGCAACAGGGTATAAGACGGACGCTATCTTCTCAAAACCAACATGATGGAAGACCGGTGTTTGCAGGCAGCTCAACCCAACATCAGGCCAGACTGACCACCGCCAAAATGCGTCTCCTCAATGTCCTAACCGCCGCTCTCAGCGGCACACTCGCCGCCGCCGCATCCCTCCAACAGGTAACCAGCTTCGGCGCCAACCCGTCGGGAGCAAAGATGTACATCTACGTGCCCGATAAGGTAGCTGCGAGCCCGCCAATCATCGTCGCCATCCATTACTGTTCCGGGACTGCGAGCGCGTACTACTCCAACACGCCGTACAAGTCATACGCGGATCAGTACGGCTTGATTGTCATTTACCCAGAGTCGCCGTACAGCGGCACCTGCTGGGACGTGAGCTCAACGGCTTCGTTGACGCACAACGGGGGCGGAAACAGTAATGCCATCGCTAATATGGTGACGTATACTCTGAACCAATACAACGGCGACAAGAGCAAGGTCTTCGTGACGGGCACCTCCTCTGGAGCTATGATGACGGTATGAGACCCTCCTAAAAGACGACAAAAATCGCCCTCTTAAAACTTCACCTTTTGCCCGGAACAAGCTTCACTAACAGCAACGAAGAACGTCATGGCAGCAACCTACCCCGAGCTCTTCGCCGCAGGCATAGCCTACTCAGGCGTCCCCGCCGGGTGCTTCTACACCGGCACCGTCAACGGCTGGAACTCGACCTGCAGCCAGGGCCAGTCCATCTCGACGCAGGCCGTGTGGGCGCAGACGGCGCTCAACATGTACCCGGGCTACTCGGGCGCGCGGCCCCGGATGCAGATCTACCACGGCAGCGCCGACACCACGCTGTACCCGCAGAACTGGAACGAGACGATCAAGCAGTGGACCGGGGTGTTCGGGTACAGCCTGACGCCGCAGCAGACGCTGCCCGGGACGCCGAGCGGGCAGTACACCAAGTACATCTACGGGCCCAATTTGCAGGGCATATATGGGGCTGGGGTCGGGCACAGCGTGCCTGTCATGGGCTCGGAGGATCTGAAGTGGTTCGGGATTACGGTGAGTCTTCTCTCGTGTTGTTCTTGTTGATGTGATATTGATCGTTTGACAGGGCGGCTCCGGAACGACGACGACCGCAGCGGCGCCACCTGCGGCGACAACAACGGCGGCACCGCCGAGCGGGGGCGGGGGCTGCACGGCGAACCGGTGGGATCAGTGCGGCGGGAGCGGGTTCAGCGGGTGCACTGTCTGCGCGTCCCCGTACACTTGCACCAAGGCCAATGATTGGTATTCTCAATGCTTGTGAAGGTTGTGTGGGTATAGCAGCAGTGATGGGTGACTTATGTGGTTGAAGAGAGTTTTGTACATACTTTACTCTTCAACGTCTCTTCTTGCTTGACTGCTGAAATCAGACGAACTGACCAAGCATAATCTTCAACTCGATTGAGTACCTATCCAACTCGACTGAGTTCCTTTCTCTGAACAACACTTTACTTCTGATAGCTCATTATCCCTGTGCCTCAAGTAGAAACGTCACCATGAGATTCGAGAATGGTCAAAATCCCCGGCCAACAAAACTTGTTGGTTAAGGATTCGCGATGGATGAGCGTTCCGTATTTCCGTATTCCCGTTCCGTAGTTCCGAGCAATCACAGCCCAGCTAGCGACCGGGGTCAATTACACCCACCGGAACGTGAACCGAAGCGCTCGGAAACGCCAATCCTCATAAACCAGCTCAAGCTTACCCTTACGAATCATCCAAAGCCGCGGGTTTCTTCCAGTCTGGATGGATGATGACGGTAGCCGCGCGCGCCGTTGCAAGCCAAACCCTCCGGGCCGATCGCCACTCATGCTCTTTCAGCATCCGAACCCGTCCCGGTTCGTAATCCGGAGGCAATCATTCTCCCCCACCAACCGACCTCGGACCCGAACAGCAGAGCAAGGGCGATAGGCGATAAGCAAGCCACTGGCACGTTCATTGCTGAGCAAACCACAATCACCGACACCAGGTGCCGTCAACGTGGAGCCGGCGTCAGCTTGTCAGTGTCTTGTCTTGACTCAGGTCCCAGCTTGGCCGCTTCCGACCTAGATGGGATGGCGTCTTCTTAGTCTTTCCCCCCAAGCGCGCGCGGGGTTTCTGCTGCGCAAGCCTGCGCAGCTCTTTGGCGGCTTTTCTGGAGCTTCTTAGTGCTCGGAACTAGACCGGCCCAGCCCGTCTGTTTGGCGTCCCCTACCGCTGGGACTTGTAGCAATTCAGCCCTGCGCATGCTTGAAGGAGGGGAAGCTCAGATAGAGCCGGCTGCATCTGAGTGGTCTCGAACATCCGCGTGACCTTGCTCTGTAATAGGAAGTTACTGGTGTCCGTGTCTCTGAGGAAAGGGTGTTCTTCGCGGGCGCCAAGTGAGTTCATGGCTGCTTCCGGGCTGTCGGCGGAGGGTCGGTTCTCAGGCTCTCTGTTTCTTGTTGCTTCCCCGTTGTAGACATTCGAGAAGCCCTGATTCCTCCATGCTCAATGTGAATCATCAGGGTTCTCGGGCGTTCTGGAAGAGGTAAAAAGTCGGCGAGTCTCATGGCATCGGTGAGGCCTTGAAATCTGGGACCATTGGCATCATCGCATTCGATCCTGTTCGACACCGAGTCAATGGAAGAGCCACATCAGATTAGATCTCGCAGGCGGCATTCCCAAAGGAGAAAAAATATCCAGACAGGGGGATCCATAAAAAAACAGAGAAGCTGTCACTCAGTAAGCAAGCACGGACTGGAATGCAGAATGTGAGTCTTCCTTGGTCCCAGTTGATGCGCCGTCCGACTCGCGGGTCGCACACCGGTTGGACGGACGGCGTTTAGGAGTTTAGTTGTTCTTAGTCTTGGCCCGTCGGCGTTGGCAGCTTTCAATGTTCAAACCACAGAGAGAGAGACATTGAAAATGGAGGCAGCTTTTCATCAAGGTCTTCCTGGGAGAACCCCCCACCATCACATCAAAACGGATCCATCCCGGGACCCCCCTGGGCCATGCAAAATCGATTCGACCCTTACAAATTTGTGAGAAAAAACGGACCAATCCCACGTGTAATTCCGGACGAGGGAGACCGGGCCCCGGGTGGCTCTGGGTCTCGCCGGTTTTAGGGGCGATTCCCTTTTTGCTCTTCTTTCTCTTTCAGTCCCCATCTTTGCCTGGCTCTTGAACGACTTAGCGTCTCTGCTTCGGTATGGCGAATTTGAAAGGTCCCGCTCGTATCTGCCGTCGCCGCCTTCACCACGGGTAGATCATTCTTTACTTCAACTCACCCTCTTCCCACCCCCTCGGAGCTGGTGCCGCCTGATTTCCTCTCTCTGAGGACTCAGAAGCTTTGCACCAGACAACGACGACAAGATGTCTTCTCTTTCGGCGTCCGAGAAGCACCAGCAACCGCGCAAGAGCGCCGACTCGTTCTCCGGAGACAGGACCGCGACGGCGACCCCTGATGTCAACATGACGAAAGAAGACAAGCCGACCCCGGACGACTCGAGCGCTTCACCAGACCAATCGAGCCGCGATGGATCCGACGACAACGGCGACGGCCTCGCGCCGACGCAGACCAATGCCTCCGAGGTCTGGCCCGCGACAACGATGTCGTTCCCCCGTGAAGCGCTCTTTGTAGCTATCTGCTGCATGGCGCAGTTCTGCACCCGTGAGTCTCCCTCGTAGCTACTTAACAACGGCTCTTCTATATCATGTAAGATGAACATGATTGACTGAGACAAACATCCAGAGGCCGCATACATGGAGACCCTCGTCCTCCTGCACGTAATCGGCGGCTCCTTCCACGTCGACAACCCAGCCCGTCTCGCGTGGCTCGTCGCCGGCTACTCCCTCACCGTCGGCACCTTCATCCTCTTCTCCGGCCGCCTCGGCGACGCCTTCGGCTACAAGCGCATGCTCATCATCGGCTTCTCCTGGTTCTCCGTCTGGTCCCTCATCGCCGGCCTCAGCGTCTACTCCAACTTCACCCTCGCCGTCTTCTCCCGCGTGCTGCAGGGCATCGGCCCGGCCATCTGCCTGCCCAACGCCCTCGCCCTCTTCGGCGCCGCCTACCCGCCCGGCCACCGCAAGGCAATGGTCTTCTCCTTCTTCGGCGCCGTCGCGCCCATGGGCGGCGTCTGCGGCGCCGCCATCGCCTCCGTGCTCGAGCTCGAGTGGTGGCCGTGGGCGCTGTGGGCGCTCTCCATCTGGCTCGCCATCCTCGCCGTCGCCGGTTTCTTCATCATCCCCGAGCCGCAGCGCAAGATGGGCCCGCCGCGCGGCCTGAAGGAGATGATGGTCGAGCTCGACATTCACGGCGCCGTCACCGGCATCGTCGCCCTGGTGCTCTTCAACTTTGCGTGGAACCAGGCGCCCATTGTCGGGTGGAAGACGCCCGAGGTCCTGGTGCCCCTCATCCTGGGTCTCATCCTGTTCGGCGTCTTCGCGGCGATCGAGTTCAAGTACGCCGAGAAGCCGCTACTGCCGTTCGACGCGGTCAACGCAGACGTCGCGTTCGTGCTGGCGGCTGTCGTGTGCGGATGGGCGACCTTCGGTGTGTGGACGCTGTACTTGGTGCAGATCCTGCAGGAGATCCGGACGCTGTCGCCGTTGTTGACCTGCGCGTGGTTCTCGCCCGTTGTGGTCACCGGTGGTATCGCGGCTGTGATCACTGGCAAGCTCCTCGGCCCTCTCAAGGTCCGTCCTGCGGTAGTCATGACCATGGCCCTGGTTGCGTTCACCACCGGTATCATCCTCACGGCGACGGCCCCCGAGAACCAGATCTACTGGGCGCAGATCTTCGTGTCCATGCTCATCATGCCTTTCGGCATGGACATGAGTTTCCCCGCTGCGACGCTCATCTTGTCCAACGCTGTGAAGCGGGAGCACCAGGGCATCGGTGCCAGTTTAGTCAACACCGTCGTCAACTACGGCATCGCATTGGGCGTTGGCTTCGCGGGCACTGTGGAGGTCCACGTCAACCGCGGCGCGCAGACGACGGAGGACAAGTTTGTCGGCTTCAGGGGCGCGATGTACATGGGCATCGGCCTGGCTGGCCTGGGACTGTGTGTTTCGTTGACCTTCTTGGCGAGGGAATGGAGGCATAGCAAGGCTGGGAAGGTTGTGAGCGAGGAGAAGGCCGAGGCGCCCAAGTCGTGATGGGGATTAGCATAATAGAATTACATGTAGAAACGCATTGCTCAGCGCCGCGATAGATATCCATGATTTTTAAATAGACATAGAAGTTCTCGAAGAGACTCTTGTTCAGACCAATCTTCACTGGGAACACGCATTCTAGTGATGCTGCCCAGCCTGCCGGTTACTGCCCAGGGGTCACGCTCACAATTTCGAAACTTCGCAGAGCTATACATGACTTGGAGGCCACCTCGGCCGGGGAACAGCAAGACCCAATACGTGAGAAAATGGAAGAGACATTGATGAGGAACGATGCAGCACGTTGATTGGGACTCCAAGAAGATGTTTTATTAGGGGCTGGTTTCAAGCTATCTCAGTCTCGGTTTGTATGAAATCAAAACAAGAGATCGAATCACGGAAATAATTGCAGCCTATACAAAAGAAATCCTGCAGTGAACATACAAGTGTCTGCTCCACCGCAGCGTTCCTAGACAAAGGCATGGCCAAATACTGCCCAAATATTGCCTGGTTGTGGTCAGATGTCCAGTCTTCAGAAAAGATCGCAGCCATCCTTCAAAGACTTCCGATAAACTTCTCTCCGAGCTTGGATCGATTGGCCAATGCCCGCGAGATCTGATCTTCAGGCTTGACGTAGTATTCTAGAAGGGGAGAGTCATCCTTTCTCATCTTGTGCAGCAATGTCGGCGCCCACTTGTACGTGTACTTTCCCTCCCGGTACGCTCCTTTCTTTGCCTCCGGTTGGAAGTCTTTGAGAGCACCTGGTTTGTACTTATCATCGTGTTCCATGCGATATCTCACAGCCGGATGTATCCGCTCATTGGTCACCCCGACATCGTTCTGATGACCGTGGGATTTCTTATATCTGCCTGGACTCCTATCTTTCAAGAAGAAGCGCAAGAGCCAGCCAAAGACCAGGCCCATGAAGAAGTCGGTAATGATGTTCCCCTTGATAGTGGATCTACCCCAAATGATGGGTCCCAAGGCCCATTCGTGGTTGTTTTCGCCGGTATTGACCACTCCGAAGTGTGCAAGTACCTTGCGGACGAGTTGAATTGCTGAGTTGAGGGAGATACCCTGAAGCTGGTTGGAAAACTCCACAAGCTTCCTTCGCGATTCGATCTCGCGATCTGCGAGCGTTGACAAAACTCTGCCATCTGCCTCTATCTTTTCGTCATCGAGGTCGAGGAAAGGGCTGACTTGGTCGCACATCCAAGCGAAGGAAACAAGTGCCAGTTCTGCCAAGGTCAGTCAGCCGTCTCTTTCTGCGAGACTGGGGATGCTTACGTTCGCAGTCAAATGGTAACCCATTCAGAATGCCAGGGTTGCCGCCTCCAATGTTGGTGTGGCTGCCAGGGAACCAAACTTGTTGAAGGTCAGGCGGCAGGTCCAGCGGCTGGTTCTTATCGTTCTTCTGCCGGAGCTTCTGGTCAAGTTCCTCCCTGATATTCTTCGGGAGGTTTTTCTCCTGCAATCTCTGCTGGATTTCCTGCTCAGAAAGCGCTTGCAACTGATCGAACATCTCGCGCTCTATCAAGGCTTTCCAAGCTTTTTGAATTCTACCTTCTTCGGCCTGGTCGTCTATGAGTTGCCTTAGCTTCTTCGCAAGGTCTTCCCTGGCTGTCTGGCTGGGTTTAAGCTTTTGATCATCTGCAGGAAGACGCCAGAGAGTTGGAGTGAAAGCCGTCTTGTGATCGTCCAGAGCAAGAGCATGGAATGCATGCCTGATATCTGCATATTGAACAAATGAGATTAGTGTTGACCCTCCAGGCGAGTGCTGTTAATGACTTACACCTGCTCAAGGAAGGATTGTGAAATCCATATTCCTCAATGCCAAGCCATCGATAGCGCCTGGCGATCTCGTTGCTCAGTTTCTGAGTAATGCCCATATACGGGATTCCCAAAGCGCCAACGGTGTCGAAGACGCCAACAACTTGGACGATTCTGGTATACTCAGCAGGCAGGGCATGCGGCACCTGACTCCAGTTGTCGTCCGCTCCACTAGCCTGCAAAACCTGCGGCTTCTCAACGCCCATGATCCAGTTTCGGTACGCGTCAGACTGTCGGAACTTGAAGCTATCGTTGTCGTCGTGTTGTCGGTAGATACGGTAGAGCTCCGGGAAATCGTCCAGTTCCTGGGGCGTGACAATGCCAATGTCCGTGATGAGGCCGGCTACTGCGCGAGCCGTGTAAGCTCCTCGGGAGAATCCGAAACAGAAAATCTCGTCGTGAGGAGAGTAATTCATGACGATGAATGAATAGGCCTTAATGACGTCGCAGGCAAGCCCGTCGCCGAAGGTGGCCTGGCGCGCTTTCTCGACGATGTTGACGCCGTCACCGGTGCCTATGCCCGAGCTATAGTAGACAATCTGCGGGCATGTCTCGTCGTCGGGAGAGTCGCTGCCTCCATTTCTGTTCACTTTCCCGGTTTGAGCGATGGAGCGTGCTAGCCGTGTCACATTGGAAGGGACATTCTTCCGAATCGTGGCTGAAGTTTGCCAGGTGCCATCGCAGCAGATGATAATTCGCTTGTGAGTAATCCCTTTGCGCTTGGCAGCGTCAACAGGGTCTGCTGCAACCTGATTCTTGTCCAAAGTTTCGACGTCGGCGGCTGGCGCTGTGAGCTTCGAACCCAACACTTTGCTGCGAACGAAGTCTCGACAATCTTTTCTCAGGCCCTGAGCACGAGCAACGAAAGGCAAGTCAGAGATCCCCATTATGGTCAGAAGGTAGAAGATGAAACTTGAAATGGTTGAATACAGAACTATGGTGGCCCGTCGATGATTCATCCGCTGGCCGCGGAATAACGACAGCCTATATATTGGGATCGGTTTCTCTATAGCTTCTTCGGGGACGGGCCGTCGGGAGCCTCCGCTGTGGGGCATCGTTCTTGTTGTTGTTGTCTCAGTGTCAAGTGCCAGTCTGCTACGGATCGAATTCTTAACTCAGGTGAGGCTGAGAGGGGTCGTGAAGCTGTCTCGGAGCATGTGAATGCGCCAAATCCTGATATTTTTGCTACGAACCAGCGAGAAATATGTTATGTTGTGATTACACCCGCTCGTGCGTGCCTTCTTTTCCATGGCAGCACGCATTTGAGGTCTCGGAGCGTCGGAAAGCGCGAGGGATGATAAGCTGAGGCTGAGACATATCATGAAGATACCCTTATATTTGCGATAACGCCATGGTTTGGATCCTGAAGGCAGCATCACATAGGCAAAACGGAAGGAATATGGGATCGGTATTGCTGATCTTATCGCTCGACATGTGAGTATTCGTACAGAAAGAGGTAATCCGCGGTCTTCATGCCATATCTGAGACACAAAACAAGTTAGGGATCATCGCTATCGGGCCGCAAAATAACGGCAGCGAGTTTCGCTGACAGGAACCTCTCGGCATTCAGCAATGAAGACTTGTCGAATTACTTGTTGGCGCCAGGGACAACTTAAAGAACTCGAAATCTTCTCAAGGGATCACTTTCCGGTATACAGTGCTGGTCGATTCCCTCTACTGACTTTCTTTTTCATCTCCATCAGGATTCCGTTCAAGTATCCCTGAATACGATGGAAAATGCGAGGCGTCAAGAAGGCGAGCTGAACTTTTGAATGACAACTCGTTAATAGAGTTCGCATCATGTCTTGACTTTCAAGACAAACTGTTTTATGGTGGGTTGCCAAGGCTTCTGTGCAATCCGTTGCAAACGGTGAAGGCGGAGCTGTGGTAAGACACAGCTCGCCGAGTAGCTGAGTCCTGACCGGCAATGCAAAAACACGATATGGAATGCGATCGAGCCAGAAGAAATGCATGTGAGTTTCCAAAGCTGAGCATTTGATTTCGTGATTCTTCGTCGGAGAACGCACCATCTTGGGATGTAGACTGAAAACGCTCGAGGACACCGCTCGAGGACACCCACATTGACATGTGAAGTACCCTTTGATTGCCAAGCTCGAGTCTAAAGCTGCTCAGCTGGGAACAGCGTTTTTTAATTGAAAGTGAAAAAGAGCCCTTACCAAACCAGCAATGTCAAAAGAGTCATCGGGTGGGTTTGAGGGTGGCTCTCGCGTTCAACAATGCGACGTGTTTATCGATGACCTAGTATGCCCCCACGACACTCTGCTTTCTCAAGGTGTTGGTCATTAAATGAAGAATACACTCATTGTATGCTTAAAGAAGACAACCGCCGGTGGAACGTTCATCAAATATTCAGCTTCTCCGGTTGCTGGGAATCCACGGAGCTTTGCTATCCGGGCGGATACCTGTGGCTAACCGAGCGGACGACTACATATAAGCTCTATTGGAAGATGCCTCCTTTTGTGATCATCGCCCTAATCGTCATTGCTGTCCTGACTGTCTTCGTCGTTGTCCTAATCGTCATGGTAAGCGATGGCGAGCCTTCCCGAACATGATATCTGAAGACGAACCTCTTACCGGGGCCTGAGGCCCAGATTTCCATCACTTCCAGTAGAGGCATGCGCAAAGCGGCCCGGCTTGCTTGAAGAAGCAGACTTTCCAGGGCTGACGGGCTGGATACCAAGTCTCCAATATGCGTCGTCAGGGCTAGGTATATGAGGGCTGGCCATGTACGAAGACCATCTGATGGCTGAGAAAGGTCTGCCAGCACATCCCGCGACGCATGCCGAAAAAAGTCTCTGGCATCAACAGCGTGACAAATGGTAAAACACTGAAGACGACAGCTTGCATTGACCGCTTGATAGACAAGGTATTCGTCGCGAAACCTGACAAAACGTGCGCTTTCATTCAGTCGAGACTTCGCCTCCCAAATATGCACTGAGTCCATCGTGCTCGATTCGCTCACGCACTCGAGCAGCACAGCTGTTGCCTCATCGCCGGAAACTTGTTTGAATTGCGTAATCGCGTGCCATGGCTCGTAGTTGATAGTTTTGAGACGGCAAAGGCTATGAAGAACTTTCGCAAGCAATGTCTTCGACAGGCTTCTGTAGCAATATTGATTTACGGAAAACCTGTTGACGACAGAGACCTTAGGAAGCTTGAGAGCGCCAGAGCTGGCGTCTAGTAAGTTGCCAAGAAGACGCTGCCTGGAGTTCAAGGAGTAAATACGTCTCCCATCATGTTGACTCCTCTCAGTGTCTGTGCGATGCTTCCAAGGGCGGCCTAAATCGCTCGGAGAGCCGGCGCTCAAGCTTAAACTGATACCACTTGTAGGCGACCCACTAGACCATGCCGAAAGAGAGACAAACAACTTTTTCAGGGCTTGGCTGAAGAGCTTATTGTTTGCCTTGATAGTGTCTTGGCTCTCTTCCTCGTCGAACCTGTCCACATTATCGTACTCTTGAGTGCTTACGTGAAGTGAGATCCTCTTGACGAGGTCTCTCCGATAGCCGTGAACACAAGAGTTCAGATCGTCAATATCGGAACCAGGAAATTGAAGCTCCAGGTGCTGGAAAATTTGCGGTTCGAAGAACGTTTACCATTCCCTCGAGACCCTTGTCCAGTTTGACAAATCATGCGCTTGAATATTTCCGATCTCAGCTTGCTCCAGGATCATCAGTCGAATCTCCGCAGGCAAGGCTGCCCACCGCAGGTGATTGCCATCGTCGGGCGAGTATATGGTCCTTGAACGGAGCTTCATTTTGCAGTAGGGTCGCTCGAAGTGAGACTGGGTCGTTGAATTATGTGATGTTGAAATTGATAAGAGGTAGTGATGATGAGCCCGCAGTTGGCTGGGAGTAACCAATATTTTCTGCTTTGTTGTGGGTTGTAGGAAGAGTAAGAGAAATGGGCACAGGGCAGCAGCAGAGCTTTTCGTGCTTGTGGCCACGAGAACTTCTCGGGAAGACCTCTTTGGTTGGGGAGTGTCCTCTCGTATGGTGGCGTTTCCAGGCCACGGGAGCCTTCATGCCCCGTTCGGCCCCGATATGATCGGCCACAAGCTGCGCTTGTTCTGCTCCGCCGGTCTATTAGCTACATATGAGCTATACTAGAACATACTTTCCTTTATTATCGTTGTCCTCGCTGTCTTCGTACTTATTACTATCAACATGTTATTATCACCATCCGCCCATATAGAAAAAGTCAACCTATGATGGTGAAAAACAACTTGATTAACTTGCTTCGAAAATGGATCGGGGTGATTGATGGGCTCAAGCAGATCAGATGGACCAGGCATGTGCTCTTTCAAGCAGGTAGGCAGAACCATCCACAGGCAGTTGATGATTGTCGGTCGGTCCGGGCAAGTTTCCGACAGACATGAGGCTCCAGGATATATAAATCGGTGAGCCCTTTACTGTAATATAGGGGGAGACGCGCAGAAAATTTTGCAGAACGTTGACGCCTCCGTTGGTATTGGCGGGACATCTATGACCAAAGGGTCACAATGTCGAGGCTACGTATAACTAACATCGCTCGGAGGAGTAACAGATCCTCTGATGCAAGGTCGCTTTGATATGACCTGCAGAATACCTCCGGGGAAAACGACTGAATAGAATGTGGAAGATGAAGCCCAGAAAGACTTGAAGGCAGTGATGAAGCTTCAGCATCTCAAAGTCAGGTTGCTGTCATGTTTGCCGGGATGCCACTTCCGCGACGATTGTTCTATCAGACCTGAAGATTGTGAACGGCAAAGGTTTGGTTGAGGTCCACAATATTCCAATGGCTCAGATTTTATACACTACGCCAGCTATGGAGCTTTCGCTATGACTGATGTCTAGGTTCAAAGGACGGGTTGCTCTCACATGTTAGACATAAGTAAGTTCCCCCGACGTGTTGCATCTCTAGAACCCCAAAGATGACAAGTGAGCGTCGTGTTCATGACCAAATAGTAATCATTTACATTCACAATCGTCAGCTCTGAATGTCTCGGTATCTGTGCCCTTAAGTCACACCCTCAGCGCGGGTTCTTACCCGCCACCCCTTCCTACGAAGTATTCAGCAGACTATGCTCTCCAAAGCTACTCAATACGCGAGAAACAGAGTAGAACAGAAATTTGAATGGCGAGGATCGTTGAACTGCGTGCAAGCAGCAGGTGTTATACATGGTGCTTCAGGATACGCAGGCTGAAAGCACTCTCACCGCATCTGTCGGATAACACCAATGTTTCAACGACACACCAACGAGTCGCAGCCCATTGTCCCAGATCATGTTTAGAGATAACCATGTTTAGATACGACTCTTTCGTACCCTTTCCCTTTTATATCCTCACAGATGTGTGTATTCCCGAAATCGTCCAGTCGGTTGACGATAATCAACGTTGGGTACGTACAGGTGGCTCCTCAAATTACATAAATGAGCCGTGGTTTCCAACTGGAACAAGAGTCCACCAGCAAACCAATCTTGCCGAGTTGCCTCGAATGCGCCTTCAAATTTGGCAGAGAGAACGACTCGGCACCCGCTACAGTCTCCAAATCTCAGCTTCTCAGCTGCTGTTAGTGAGGTGGTCATACAAACCAAATACACCCACATTCTCTCAATAATATGCGACAGACTACAACTCTGGCAAACGCCACGCTCTAGATCAACTCAGCTATCTTCTTGCAGACTCCGCCTCAAAACGCGTATCCTAAAACAGCAGCTTCATCGCGAGGAATTCAATAGATTTAATCGGTCGTCGCTGTCCTCAAGATTGCTTGTTTGCTTCAAACGTTCTCGCGTCAATGCTTTTAGCTTTATATCTGGGGATTATTACACGAGCTGCAGCGAGCTTGAACCCGAAGAAACCAAGTATTAAACCCGATAGGATGC